TGCATAAGGATGAAACACTGTTATTAAATATCAGTATTTATCAATTGAGTCAAGAATCACACATTAAGCCTAATTAAATATTAGTATTTATATACCAGTATAGATCACAAACAGTTATTCAATATCAGTACTAAAATAAGTCAAGAACCACACATTAAGCCTAATTAAATATCAGTATTTATATACCAGTATAGATCACGAACAGTTATTCAATATCAGTACTAAGATAAGTCAAGAACCACACATTAAGCCTAATTAAATATCAGTATTTATATACCAGTATAGATCACGAACAGTTATTCAATATCAGTACTAAAATAAGTCAAGAACCACACATTAAGCCTAATTAAATATTAGTATTTATATACCAGTATAGATCACAAACAGTTATTCAATATCAGTACTAAAATAAGTCAAGAACCACACATTAAGCCTAATTAAATATCAGTATTTATATACCAGTATAGATCACGAACAGTTATTCAATATCAGTACTAAGATAAGTCAAGAACCACACATTAAGCCTAATTAAATATCAGTATTTATATACCAGTATAGATCACGAACAGTTATTCAATATCAGTACTAAAATAAGTCAAGAACCACACATTAAGCCTAATTAAATATTAGTATTTATATACCAGTATAGATCACGAACAGTTATTCAATATCAGTACTAAAATAAGTCAACAACCACATATTAAGCCTAATTAAATATTAGTATTTATATACCAGTATAGATCACAAACAGTTATTCAATATCAGAACTAAGATAAGTCAAGAACCACACATTAAGCCTAATTAAATATTAGTATTTATATACCAGTATAGATCACAAACAGTTATTCAATATCAGTACTAAGATAAGTCAAGAACCATACATTAAGCCTAATTAAATATCAGTATTTATATACCAGTATAGATCACGAACAGTTATTCAATATCAGTACTAAAAAAAGTCAAACAGTTATTCATCAAATGTGTCAAAGATCAAGGTTATTTAATGACATTATTCCACACGATTAAACACAATGGTTTTCAATATCAGTATTTATCAA